TACTATGGTGGCAAATATCAAAAAATTTCTATATGTGACACGGTACCAGAGTTAAGTTAGGGTTTTTCAAAATGCTGACACGCCGAGCTCAAAAGGTTCGCCATCACTGATCTATACCCTTACCTGGGGGCCCTTAGGCCCTCAAAGCTTCTCACTCCCCATAAGTGTGTTGGTCTAGAAGTCCTGGTGGGCTTCATTGAAATGGAGACTTTACCCAGAACATTTTGGTTTGGGCCTCCTCTCGAAAGTCAAGAAATTTGGCAACAGGGGCTTCTGCTCCCTTCTGGCAACAACCGGCTGCTGGGTCCTTGTGTTGTTGCCATTTGACTTCTTAGTATAGCAATGATGAGGAGGAGGAAGCAGGACCGAGAGGAGCTGTGCTTAAAGAACTTTGGGCAAGAGCCTACTTCCTTTTGAAGCAGAGTATTCCTCTGGTTAAACATGGAAACCAAGCCCTAACCGGTTTGGCTCAGTGGATAGAGCGTCAGCCTGCGGACTCAAGGGTCACAGGTTTGATTTCTGGTCAAGGGCATGTACCTTGGTTGCGGGCACATCCCCAGTAGGGGGTGTGTAGGAGGCAGCTGATCGATGTTTCTCATCGATGTTTCTAACTCTCTATCCCTCTCCCTTCCTCTCTGTAAAAAATCAATAAAATATATTTTTAAACATGGAAACCAAGTGTGTCTGTGTCCTGCCTGGCCCCACAGGCCTGTGTTTGGGCTCCCCAGGTTGCTTCCTCCCACCCAGACCATTGGATTCAAGATCTTCAGCCAATGAACCAGATCCCAACAGAACAGCCAGGAACTGAGTGTTCTACTTACTACCTTTTATTAGAAGCCATGTTGCTAAGGGCTGATGGCAAGCTTGCTGCGCGGAGGGAACTGGGCTTTGGCAGGGTGAGGAGGGGCTGTGGTGGAGAGGCTGGTTCTGGGGAGAGGGAAAGGGTGGCTTATGCCCCAATTACATAGGCTGGAAAGCCAGAGGGGAGAAGTGCCGTCCCCTCTCCTGCACCTTCTCTCCTTGTCCATGGGTCTAGGTCTTGGGGCTCCATGTTGGGAGCTGCTGTGGTGTCAGAAATGGGGGTCAGCCTAGCTCATGGTCCAGCTCCTTGGGCCTTGTGTGTCTGCTGATGGATGGGGGCTTGGGCAGCAGGGCCCTCCTAATCTGCTGTTCTGATGTGATTTCTGTCCAAGGATGATGGAGAACCAGGTGCCAGAGTCTCACGAAATGAGGTGCAGCGGGGGAGACGGCGGGAGCAGGGCATGTAAGGGGGAGGAGTATGTGGCTAGGTTTGGGGGACGGAAGAGAGCAAGGAAGCTGTGGCCATGCAGGGCTGACTGGGTGCTGGTGTCTTCTATTGCTGTTCTCACATGGTGGCTAGAGAGATAAGCAGCAGGTTAGGCTTGGAGTCACCATTGTCCCTGCCCCTTCCCAGCATCCAGGGGCCTCAGAGCAATTGAGGACTCTCCAGTGCCCCCTGCTCAGGTACAAGTACTGACTATGATATAGACACCCACAGCACTGTTCCTCATCTCTGAAGTAGACATCTCAGGGAGGGTCCTGGAGAATGGACCACGATCATGCTGTGCTGGGCATCCACCCATGAGCGAGTTGGCCCAACTGGGGACTGGGTCCCCTCTGGAGGGGCCCTTACCTTGGACCAGATCCTGCTTGGTCACACCCAGCCCAGATGACAGATCCTCCATGTCCAGTGGTTCTGCAAAGGAGCAGCAAGGCCATTTGTTATGTGAAGTCCAGCTACTTCCTTAGAAATCAGAATCATGGGTGAAATTCCATGCTTCCTTTTGAAGCAGAGTATTCCTCTGGTTAAACATGGAAACCAAGCCCTAACCGGTTTGGCTCAGTGGATAGAGCGTCAGCCTGCGGACTCAAGGGTCACAGGTTTAGGTGAGGGGCCTGGGATTATTTCTTCCCAACCTGGGCACAGGCCGATCCTGGGAGAGCAGGTGCTGCCTAGAAGGATGCGTGCTGGATGGCAGCAGTGAAGTGTAGTTGGGGAATTGAGGGAAAGGCCAGGAAGGGGGTGATGAGATGAAATGGGTAGGTCTGTAGGACTTCTGGATGCACAGTGGATAGTGCACGGGTGGGTAAGAGTCAATGAAAGGATCAGATGAATGAGTAAGTAGATGAGTGTGTAAGCAAGGAGAGAAATGATAGATGGACGAACAGATGAGGAACGCACAGGGATGGAGATGGACAAAGTGGTGGATGCATGGCTGAGTGGCTGCCCCCCGGGAGCTTACACCTCAAGTGTCCTGGCCACATGTGTGCCAGGAGGGGCCTTTGGCCCTCAGCCTTCCTGGTCCTTCCTGCTCCTTTGACACTCCTTGGCACAGTGGCCACTGCTTACCACTGCAGTTATGGCGCCCACGGCTTCTGGTGTGGGGGACCTCGGTGCCGTTGGGGAAGACGCACCAGCAGTAGCCGATGCTCCCAAAGCACTGGAGCGGCATATAGTTGCCGTTCTCGTCGCACTGGGGCTTGAACCTGCCCGGGTGGATGGCGGGGATGCGGCTGGCCTCTTCCAGGCATTTGGTCAGTACTGAAGCGACAGGCATGGTGAAGACAGTGAGTGAGCAGACTCTGAGCCAAGGTCTCAGTAGAACAGAGATCCACATACCACTGCTGTGGGCCTAATGCCTTCTGCCCAAGTGGCTGTACTTGCTCTATCCATTGCACAGATGGGAAAACTGAGGACTGGACCAACAAAGTCCAAAATCAAAGAGGAAGTGAATTGCTGTGTGGCTAATTCATTTTAAAATTTGATGATTTCTTCCAATACTCCATGCCTATTAAAGCTTGGAATTTCACCCATGATTCTGATTTCTAAGGAAAAGCAATGGACACCTTGGTAAGTCTGAGCTTCTGTTACTGGGGGTATCCAAGTAGAGATGGGGGTTTGTTTGTGGAATTTGTAGAAGGGATTCAAACATAAGCTGGGAGTTGGTCGAGATAGCATCTAGTGCCTTCTATGAGTGTGATGAAAAAATCTGAGGCCCACACGGGTGGACCCCTGATTTTCTACTTCCTAAACTGAAGCCCAGAGGGAAGAAATGCCCAACGCTGCATGACAGATTATGACCAGGATTAAACATGACATTCTTCAAGGCTTTAGAGCTGAAAATCCTGGTGTACATTGTCCATAAGGGGAAAAAAGGTTCTCTTGTCTGGTATCCGCTGTCTGTGTGACCTCAGGGAGGTCCCTCTGAGGGGCGGGAAGGTCATTGAAATGACTCCTGGGATGTTTCAGGTGGTTTCTGCTCCAGGCCCACTTGCCCAGTGCCATCCTCCACAAGCAAGATGTACTCTGTGAGCCCTCAGGTCAGGATGTGGGCCAGGGGGGCAGCCAAGCCCAAAGGAACAGGCAGGAGAGAGAGGAGTGACAGTTGAGAGGCTGGGAGATCCAGTCGCATCAGGGAGCGCTCTAGGCTCTAACTTCTGTGGCTCTGGGAGAGCCCTGAGAGGGGTCTCAGGAACCCAACACCCCAAGGCTCCCAACTCCCTGTACCTTTTGGTGAACCTTCAGTGAGCTTCTCCCCCAGCGAATTCTTGCTCATTTCAAACAAGAGCCACTGATGCATCCAGCTCTCAAAGATCTAAAGGGGACAGAGGCAGAGGGTCAGGCTCAGTAGCCCTCCAACCCTGCCTGGCTTTGCCCCTCAGGGCAGAGACATGGAGGGCCAGGCAGGGTCCCTGCACCCCATGGTCCAGCTGCATCCTGGTTCCCCCTGAGAGAGCCAGAGGGCTTGGTCAAGTTGGTTACTCAACTCCAAGTGCTTTCCCGTGTTGGTGGCTTTCTAAGTTCTGATAAGCCGCCTCCAGTTTCCTGAGAATGGCCTCCCCAGCCCCGCCCTAGGAGAGAGGGCGCCAGTGCAGGGAAGCCTGCTGACCTTCCAGTCCAGGCCCTCCATGGTCTTCTTAAGGTGTTTCAGATTCTCTGGGAAACTCCCTTTCATCTGTGGGTACACCTTCAGGGGGTCAGCCTTCTGCAAGGTAGCAGGCAGGAAGGAAGGTTAAAAACTCCCTGGCCGGTAAGGTGAAATGTGCAACCCATGTTCCCCTGGTCTTCCATTCCGAGGGGTGGACCCAAGCTGCAGCAAGCTTGGACTCTGGACCGCAGCCACGATGGAGCTGGGGGGAGGGGAGACAGTAAAGGCAGTCTAGCTGCACAGGTACAAGACCCCAAGGCTGGAAGGTGGGAGACCCAGGTTCCAGGACCAGTTACACCAGAACCCTTCTACTCCTACAGATACCTACTCACCTTTCAGGTCTACCTCCTCCAGGAAGACTTTGTGGACCCCACCCTCAGCTAGGCTGGGTCCTCTGTACCTTTCCTCACAAAGCCCCCTGCATGTCCTTCATCACCTGGTCACTTGCCTGTTTCCCATGCTAATCTGGGATCCCCATGGGATTGGGACCTGGGTCTCATTGCTCCCCCTTGTGGGCCCAGGGCCTTGCACAGTGCTTGGCACAGAGTAGACATGCAGTAAAAACTTGAGAGGGAAAAAGTGGGTGCCTCGGTTTCTCAATCTCAAACACTCAAAAAAGGCGTGACTGGAATACATACAAAGTTTAAGGGCCACTCTTGCATTCCTTCACTAACTTGGTGAGCCCATACTGAATGTCTACTATGAGCCAGGCAAGGTGTGGGTCTTGGAGTGTGGCCTTGCCAGGGGCTTGTGTGGGCAGGCAGGGCTACCCAACCGGGTCCCACTCACCAGGAGCAGGTGCATCACATGGTCCATTGTGGTGTTGCCGTACTTGGTGGCGTTCTGCATGGGCTGTGGGAGGAGGAGTGGGGGGTATCAGCACTGGCCCCCAGAGGAAGGCCCTGGCATGGAGGCAGTAGCTGGGGCCTGGGTAAGAGTCTAGAGTCCCAGATGCTCCACAGGCCATCTCTGCCACCTCCAGATGCGAGAGCTTGTGCAAGTCACTTTACCTTTCTGCCTCAATGTCCCTGTTGGTCAGATCTGCAGACGCTTTCCCACCCAGGGCTTTGTGGATAGCAACATTATCCATACATAAGGGCTTTGAGAATAGGAGGGGACCTTGAGATGCAATGGAGCATGAGCAGCACCTTGTAAACTGTAGAGAGCAGGCCCTCATGTCAGGAATGGCCCCCAGCCCTGGGATTCCTCCTTCCTGAGGTGGCCCTGTCCTCCCTCAGCTGGGCTTTTCCTGGGTCAGCTGTTCTGCCATCCCTTGGCCCCTGCCCTCCATCCAGGCTAGATAACATTGTCCCCTTGCACCACACTGCAGTTGTCCTTACCCCCTGGAGCAGGCCTTCCATGGGCAGCGCCTGCATCAGCATGGGGGTGGCCACCCGCATCTTGCCCACAGGCTTGGCAGCTGTGGAGTCAGAAGGTACAGCATGAGTGTGGCCCCAGTGCCCAGGGAAGAGGGTACTCAGATCCGGGGCCCAAGATTTCAGACCCAGGTGAGGAGGGGCTCGACTTCAGAGAGGACAGTGGGCCCAGCCAAGTGCAGGAATGGGGACTCGGAGGTGAGGAATGGTGGTGGTGGGGTGTCAGGATGGAGGTGGGGCACGCACACTTGGGAAGCTTCATGCGCAGGTTCTCCAGCTGCAGGTTCTGCGAGGTGACAGTCAGCTTGTCCAGCCGGCCCTGTTGCTGGTACAGGAAGTAGGCAGTGGTGGCCTGACCAGCCAGGAGCAGAGCCACCAGGACAGAAAAGCCTGTGTACAGGGCTCCGCGGCTGCACTTGCTGTTGGGGGGAGGGAGAATATGTCACAGGAGAGTCCATGGAGGTGGCTGCCCTGAGGACTGGCTGGGAATGGGGGAATGTGTCCCCCCATTTCCATCAGCCCACCCACCTCCAGCTACCCCAACACACATACACATACACACGAATAAGTGCCTATGGACATACAGCTTAAAGACATTCCCCAGCCCCTACTTCCAACCACTGCTGGCCCTCCAAGTTGAAATCCTGGAGCTGCCCCTGGGTCTAGGCTGAGTGGGGAAGAGCCAGGGACAAGTGCCTTGGCCTCTCTCAGCCTCAGTCCCCTACGTTCCCTCTGCCAGGGGGTCTCCTGAGAATCAGGCCTGCCCTCAAGGCGGGGGCGGGAGTTACCATCCTACCTGCCCAGCCCCTGCATTAAAATCAGAAAAGGGAAGGAAGTGGGACATGGACAGCAGAGCTTGCAGGCCCACCTGAAAAAGAGAAGTGAGGCCTTGCCATTTTAAGAGTAGGTTGGGGGCATCAGACTGTTGGGCTGGAGCTGGGCCAGGCACCACCCCCACTGGTCCAGACTCTGTGTCTTTGAGCAAGTCTCTGCCATTCTCTGGGCCTGTCACATGGGTACCTCTCACTTCAGCATTTCTAGGCTTTGGTAGTTTTTGGAGAGCTGAGTGAGGGCATAGAAGTATTTCAAATGGTAATGTCCACTCAGAAGGGATTTCTGCAGGAGTATGGTGCCTAAGCTGGGTGACCTGGGGGAATTTCTCATGTTCTCTGGACTGGCTAGCCGCACGGGGAGGTGGCCAGACCTCAGACCTCAGACCTCAGGGAGCCCTAGCAGCTATTGCCTTGGGTGCAGTTTGGGGCACATGCGTAAGTTACAGTATGGGGGTTGGGGGGGTGTAAGGATCCTGCCCCAGGACCATGAGAGCTCCTAGCCTGTTTCTCTGACCTCACCCCAGCGGTGGCACTGCTAGGACCCCATTGGACTCTGTCAGGATGAGACTGTACCCTATTTACTCCAGCAACCAGCAAGGAGGTTTAGGAGACTCCAGGACAGCCTTCTGCCTAGTAACTCATGACATCACAGACACAGCTCATTCTCACTGGCTTCCTGCTTGTCAGCCCTCTGCACTTTCTGGGGCAAGGCCAAGCCCAAGGCATTGTTATTTTAGAAGGAGAAAGTAAAAACCCTGTGTGGGGAAAGGAGGAGACCAGACAGGAGGGAAACAAATCCCATTCGTGGCCTTTCCGAGCCTCTAAGGATGGTGGAAAGCCCACCCAAGTCTGAGGCTTGCCTGGAATCACGGTCTCCAGCTCATTATCTACATGCCCACTCCCGCAACCCCACACCCAGTCCAGTCCCAGCTCTGCCTCTGACCATGTGAACTCTGGAAAAGCCCCTTCCCTTCTCTGAACCTCAGTTTCCTATAAGGCCTAAGAATCTAGAGCAGTGGTTCTCAACCTTGGCTGCACATTAGTATCACCTGGGAATCTTTTTCAAATCCCGATTTCTGGGCCTCATCCTCCAGAAATTCTGTTTCTTTGTTACTAATGTTGTGGCCCCACCCCATAACAAACAGAATTTCCGGAGGATGAGGCCCAGAAATCAGGATTTTTAAAAGATTCCCAGGTGATTCTAATGTGTAGCCAAGGTTGAGAACCACTGATCTAGAGAGTTATATATATTGAGGATGAGACCACATAATCTAAGTTGAGGTACGAACATCTACTCAAAGGGTGCTATATTAAATAAGATCCTGAGGATAAAGTTCTCACCTCCATTGCTAGCACATAGCACTCCACTGGTAACACTGCTATTCTCAAGGGAGTTAATAGTTAACTTTAACATCTAGCTTCCTTCCTCTTTATACATCTTGAATGCCTGTCCCCTGGGTTCTGGACCAGGGCCAACTCATCACCCCTCTGCATTTCCTCCTTTCCACTGCCTCCTTCAATAATAATAAAGTAATTGGTCAAAGTCAGGAGCCAACCAGAACTAGCAGGAATGATGATTCAGATGTTGCCAGGCAGAAGTCTTCACAAAAGGGTCTGAAACTGGCTCAAGTCTGGACCTGAGCCAGTTTTAGAAGCAGTAACTGAACTAAAAGGAAAAACAAGGATTTGAGAAGGGGGGAGGAGTGGCACCCTCTTGAGCCCACACTAGGTCTGCAACTCACTGGGTGGCCTGAGCCAGACAGGTCCCACCTCCCTTCTCCGCAAATTGTACTTCTAGAAGAAGGGCATTTGGTAGTTAGCTCAAACTTTGAAACCAGACTAGTCCTGGGTTCAAATTCTGACTCCAATATTCACTAGCTAAGATAACTTAGGTAAGTCGCTTACCAAAATGAGCTTTAATTTTCTCATGTAAAAATGGGAATAAAAGTACCTGACTCAGGGTTACTGTGAGAATTAGGGTTAAGTTTAGCATGTAGTTATGTGTCCATAATTACTAGCAGTGGCTGAGAACTGGCAACAAGTACACAGTGAACGGGAACTATTATCATGACTATTGTCATTATTATTACTGAGACCCAGAAAGAAGCAGTGATTTATCCAAGTCACATGTGACAGTACAGAACCTGGACCAGAATCCAGCCATCAGGGGAGAGCTGGCTGGCCCTCCTAGCCATAGGATCCCCAGGATTTTTGACAGACCACTGCTCTAATGGTCTTTCTCTGGTTACCTGTGCCCCAGAACACAGATCCTCATGACTTCTCTGAGTGTCTCTCTCAAACCCCTTTCTGCCTGGCAACAGCTGACATCAGATCTAGCTGTAAGTCCCAATAACTCACAAATTAATTTTTGGAGATTGGGGAGAGCAAGGGGACATTTGGTAATTGCACTCTAGCCACCACCCTTTGTTCAGAGAAACACATGGGTGAGACCATCTTGAGGCTGCGAGATGGG